TTAAGATCCCTTTCTAATTGCTTCCTTTACAGCTCATAAATTCGAATTTTGATAGTAAACAACAAATAGCCATTTTTGGGATGGGTTTTCAGGGAAGAGTTTTCTTTTTTCTGATGTCCAATACCCAAACAAAAAATTCATTATTTCTCTCTCTGGATTTTATTTAAATGATTATTTTATTTAAATTAATTATTATTTGAAGACGTTATTGCAGCTGTTAGAAAGCTGAAAATCTCTGTTTTGATCCTGTGTTAAAAATATTTGGTTTTTTATATTATTATAAGTGGGAAATATAAAGATAAAAACTGTAAAAACATTTGAAACGTTTTATTTTAAATCTCTAGTACTAAATTATTCACCGAGACTATGTGTATGGCATTACGATTTGTTCATAATGTTCAAAGCTCCTGTAAAACTTCGTATAGATCGGTGGAGTTGTTTTAAAGTTATCACCAGGGGGCGTCGATGGCCGCAACGGTAGGCGTTGACACGGCGCTCATTCTGTAAGGTAAAGGTCCCGGGTTCGAATCTAGCGGCCCTGCATTCGACCCCGACTTACTTACAAATGGGCTTTTTTTTCAAAAACACCGGCTCTCCAAGGGTTGATATAACCTCCGCTGTGATTTTAGTGGAGTTGTATTGAAGTTATTACCATTTTTATCCATTTCATATAAAAATCATACTCAAAGATAGGCTAAAATTTTAAGGGAAAATAGTTCCTTTGTGTGTAGAGATTAGTGACCGTTAATCGATAGTTATTCAGATATCGTGAGATGCGGTCGGGTGTGATGTGTGATAAACACTTTGAGTGAGTAGAAATACTTTGATTGAATATATAAAATGTATTTTGCATTGTATAAATTCACTTATCCACATCCTAAATGTATTTGTTAAATGTAAACATTGTTTGTAAATCCCAGGCCCTGAAGATGATCTCAATAAAAGATCGAAACGTTGGCACGATAAAGAAAATGTTTTTCTGAAACCTACATCACACCCGACCGCATCTCACAATATCTGAATAACTATAGTTCCTTTGATTGCTAAAAAAAAATTTATTCAACAGTTTTTAGGGTTTAAAAAAAATCAATTTTTTTCTTTGTAAAAAAAATATTTTAGCCAATTTTTCAACGTCGGACCGCCTCAAATATATTCAATATTTCAACAGGTATGTTCAAATTCGCATAAGATGCTTGTTTTCAGTAAAGTTCGCTGGAAAAAATTATTGTTGGAAAAAACAATTTGAATTTGTTTTAAAGACCCTTTAAAGGCCTTCACACGAATTTTTATAGCAAACAACAAATAGGCTTTTTCGGCGGAATTCGACGGGGGCATTTTTTTTTCACCGGTGTCCGGTTGTTCACGTTAAAAATTCATAACACCTCTGGATTTTATCCAAATTGAACGGTATACCAACCGTTAGAAACCAGAATGTTCCTAAATTGAACCTAAAGTATCAACATATGGTTTTATTTTAAAATAAGTGAGAACAATTAGGTTCAAATTAAGAAAAACTTCCCTAACTTTTCATTTTATATTTCTGGTTCTGGTTTATTTACGGAAGCCAGGTTTGAGCCATTACGAGAAGTTCATAGTATTCTAAAGCCATGTAAAATCTCCTGAAGAGCGGTGGACACTTTTCTAAGTTACCATCATTTTTGTGATTTTTTGTTTTTAACCTATAGAAAAGGAAGGGGAAAGATTTTAGGAAAAACAGTATTTTTTAATTTTCCCAAAAATTTTCATTTATTTACCGAAGACAGGTTTGGCCCTTACGAGTTCATAGTGTTCTAAAGCCATGTAAAATCTTCTAAAGAGCGGTGGACACTTTTCTAAGTTACCATCAGTTTTGCGATTTTTTAATTTTTAACCTACCGAAAAGGAAGGGGAAAAATTTTAGGAAAAACAGTATTTTTTAATTTTCCCAAAAATTTTCATTTATTTACCGAAGACAGGTTTGAGCCATGACGTGTAGTTCAAATCGTCCTAAAGACTCCTGAGGATCGGTGGGCTCGTTTTAAAGTTTGCATCATTTTTGTGATTTTCAAAATAAAAGTAAGGGAAAAATTTTGAGAGAAAAAAATTGTTTTTTCATTTTTCTAAAAAATTATATTCAACTTTTTGGGTCCTGTTCAAGGGTCGTAAAGACATGTAAAGACCCTTGAATATAGTGGATTGGTTATAATATTATCAACATAATTGTGATTTTCAAAATAAAAGTAAGGGAAAAGTTTTGAGAGAAAAAAATTGTTTTTTCATTTTGTTTAAAAATTATATTCAACTTTTTGGGTCCTGTTCAAGGGTCGTAAAGACATCTAAAGACCCTTGAATATAGTGGATTGGTTATAATATTATCAACATAATTGTGATTTTCAAAATAAAAACGGAGACCAAGAGGAAAGAAAGAAGTACGATATTGGTAGTTAGGTGGGCAATGATTATTCTCAAGTGTAAGTTGTTCCAATTAAAAATTCGCAACTCCTTGGAATTTGATCCAAATTCAACGTTATTACAATCGGTGGAAAAGCTACATGTAACTACGTTAGTCTGATGTATGAAACGTAAGGATTCATGTTATCGTAAGTGAGAGAAATGAAGGTGTAGCCAACATAAACGCCCGAAACATTTCATTTTATATTTCCGGTTCTGAATTCTTTACGGAAGCCATTACGTTTAGTTTATAGGAGGCTAAAGTCATGTTAACTCTCCTAAGGATTGGTGAACTCGTTTTAATTTTATCACCTTATTTGTAATTTTTGGAAGAAAAGCATAGGCATTTGCAGGTGAAAAATTTCAGGTCAAAATCTGTAGTTTTGATTTTTCCCAAAAAATTGTATTCGGGATTTTTAGGGCAGAAAAAAAACGTACAATGAGTTTGTTTCTTGATTTAAAAAAAATATATTTTATGCCTTTGTCTCCTTTCATTTCTCTGTTGCAAATTATATATTTTATTATCTTTGATATCATAGTAGGGGGTGGCCAATGATTTTTCTCCGATGTCCGTTGTTCCAATTAAAAATTCATAACACCTTTGGATTTTATCAAATTCAACGATATAGCAACCGTTAGAAACCTGAATGTTTCTACTTTTAATCTGTCTCATCGAACGTAGGGATTTATGTTACTTTTAGCGAAAAAATAAGTACGAAATTAACAAAAACTCCCGAAACGTTTCGTGATTACCGGTTGTGGTTTATTTACGGAAGTCAGGTTTAGACAATTACATGTAGTTTATAGGCTCGTAAAGCCAGGTTAAGCCTCCTGAGGATCGGTGGACTGTACTCATTTTATCACCATATTTTCTGTACTAATCTATACTCCGATGCTCTAACCATTTGAGCTACCGTGACTTTGATGATCCTGGGCTGGAACCACGCCAGTTTTCATTTTAAAAAACAGTGTATAATTAATTTAAATTTATAATAAAAATAATAAATAAGGCATTATTCTATTATAAAAAGACAGAAAATTAAGTATGAAATCAACAAAAAGCCCCGAAAACATTTATTTTGTATTTTCGGTAGTTTAAAAGCTTCTAAAATCATGTAAAGTCTCCTGAAGATCGGTGTACGCTTTTAAGATTTTAGGGAAAAAGTTATTTTTTGATTTTCCCCAAAATATTCAGGGGTTTTTAAAGTTCAGAAAACGTATAAAAACTTGGTTGCTTGATTAATAAAAATATATATTTTAGATTTTCAAGCCACTTTACTTGCGGCCAATGATTTTTCTCCGATGTCCGTTGTTCAACTTGCAAATTCTTAAATTCTCTGGATTTTATCCAAATTCAGCAGCGTTATTACCTTCGAAAAACTGAATGTCTCTTCTTTGAGTCTGTGATAACAATCTTTCGTTTTTGAGGTATTTGGAAGGCGAAAGATTTCAGAAAAAAAATGTAATTTCGATTTCAGGGTTTTTTTAGGATGGAGAAAGAGAGAGGAGAGAGAAAACGTATTTCGAATTTGTTTCTTGATTAAGTCACTTTGATTCGACTCTCCGTCAGAAATTATGTATCGTGATTCACCACATACAAACTTAATATTCTTTCAGATTGATTCTTGTCTGGTTTTTTCTTAGTAAGTTAAAATACTTAAATTTTCCAAATTAAAAAGGCAAATACATACTAACTTGGTGGTACGATATCTGTGATTGAATCTCTACCCAAAAGTATTAAAAATCTCAAAATCCTGAAAAGCTGTGTTTTGTTGATTTGACCATTTTGTACCCCGGTGGTTCAGGTCCGATGTACCAACACATCCAGGGCACAGATAGATAAGGCAGATTAAAAATAATCACGAATATAACCCGGGTGTTCCAATCTCGATTTTTCTTTTGTCCTGCTAAGGATTTTGTCAATGTTTTCATAATGAATTTGTGTATTTATTTCAACTTTAAATTTTGGTGAGTTTAAATTTATATTGAATTAACACCCGAAATACCACTGTGAAGACTTAAAACGACATTTCGGGGGGGGAGGTCAAAATCGGTGACACCTATGATTTGTTTCTTGCCACCGAGTTCGACTCAAAATAAATTATTTATTTATAATCAAACTCAAAACAGTTTAAAGAGGTTCAAATATATTTTTTTTTTTATAAAGTAGAAAAATGTGTGTGTTTTTTTTTCCATTGGTGTTTAACGTAGTTCACAGGTGCTATCCGTCAGCCGGCCACGTGTTGCCGATCAAAATAATTTTCAAATCCCCTCCTCGTTAAGAAGAAAAAAAGAACCGGATAATCCCAGTCGGTCTACGTCAACGCAATGTCAGGTCGAAGCTTTACGCCAGAAAACGAGATACGTTCGTTCACCTCCGGTGATCCGTGCCTTCTCATTTATCCGAACTCTGAGCTCATTTATCAAACAACTTGGAACGACATGCTTAATTTTCCGTCACGTGGTTCCTTTTGTTCTTTTGTCTTTTCTTTGCAAATTGAACTTAACAATAGAACGTCGATCACTTGCCGAATTTCGGTTTGTTATTAAATTAATTGTACTCTACTCACCGGTGTGGTATGTAAAACAGTGACCGGCCCGAAATCAGTGTGCTTTGGAGGGCACCGACTACTATACTAACTAAAATAACCTTACCCTGGCAGGCTTCGTGTATCCACTATTAATAGATGTTTACAGACCCCCTCTCCAAAATAAAAAAAATATAAAAAAACTTTTTTAAAATGTTAATTTCTTAAAGAAGGGATTTTGTTGATAATTTGAAAACATACCCCTAGTTTCAAAAAATATCCTGTTACAGGTGTCCTTCCCTGGCTGAATTATGTCTGAAAAAAAAATTAGCTTAATTTAAAATCCTGTTGTTAATAACGACGTGACGAGACGGCGGATTTGTTTTGAGGTAAAAATCGTGAAAATGTGGTTTTAGAACATTCGTTCTGTTCCCTTTTACAAAAACATTTACATAAATCCATTCAGGTTTTATCGAGCACACTCTCGCCCTCGACCGATGGGAATAGCACGATGTGAAATCCGCGTCTTGACTTATCGCAGAATTTCCATTGTTCGACAGGGCCCCGTACCATCGTGAACGTACTAAAAAATCGTTCAAACTTACAAATAAGTTACAAGCAATTACAAAAAAAAATCCTAGCGAGGTTCCGGCAATTTTTTTTTATAAAGGGAACGTTTAGGTCGCTGTAGATGGCGAGGTTGGAAGTATATAACTATTGACAACAGTTAACAATGGATGTACAAGGTTTCGCGAATGTCAGGTCCGAATACTGTGGAGATTTGAAGGTTTGGTTAAACCCCAAATTTCTATGACGTATGTCAAAGACGTAAGGGGAGGTTATAACGGACTGGAGGCATAGTCCAAAAATCATTGAGGTTGATTGACTTATTGGGAAAAATGTTTCTTACTAACTATCTGTTTTTAGCAGCAATCCGGATCTATCAGTCAAGTTTATTTTTCGGGAGTTTGTGTTGTTTCGTTTGTTTTGATTTTTGAACCATTGTTCAATGGAATGTACGTGTTTTTGGAGGGTTTCAACTATAACGCAGTCGGAATTGGAGTATTGACAGCGGTGTAATCAGCGTATCTAGGTGCCCCTACACTATCAAGCGGCTTGATCAAATGCTTGAGTAAATCGATTGTATAAAGCGTGATTGATAGTGTAGAAACCTGATTGACGCTTGAAGCAAGCATAGTCGGTGATTGATAAGAAGTTTGAATGACTCAAGCAGATGATCAAGCTTGATAGTGTAGGGCAGGGGTGCTCAAACGGTCGATCGCGATCGACCAGTCGATCGCGAGTGCTTTTTGAGTAGATCTCGAGAAGAANCATACAAATGAGTAATCCTGTAAACGTAAACAGAATATTTTATATAGATTTTTTTTAATGAAAACTTAAAATCCTGCATTATTTTCCGGACAACCCGATAATAACGTAATAATAAACAGATGGATGGTCAAATCGACTGAACGTATAAACGAATGAATCGCTTTTATTCGTAGTGAATTGGATGAAAAAAAATCCCAGTTTTTGAAGAAAAGCATCCACAAAACTGATAAAAACTAAGCAAATTGTAGCAATGTTTGCTGAAATGAAATGTTGTCATGTATGCTGATGACATTAATAATAAGTAATTAGAAAATTAGGAAGCGTTAGATTATACACTTTCACTGTTATCAATGATCAACCTGTTTTAATAACTGATGATGCTCCACTTCACTGCTTCCACTGATGAGGGTCGAGGGAGTTTTGACCGAAAGATTGAAGGGTTGATTGAAGCACGCTTGAAGCTCCCATCAATCGGGGGTTCAAGCATTTGATCAAGCCGCTTGATAGTGTAGGGGCACCTTTAGGATTGTTGTGTCTGAATGGAAAGGATATGAGCAGTACATAGTGAGTGTAAAACGGGGCGATGACGATGGATCTAAGCATTCGTGATTGTCAGGTCTGAATTCTGCGGAGATTTGAAGGTTTGGTTGAACTCCTAATTTCAATTACTTATATCATAGAGATGGGGTAATGTTTTAAATTACGATTTAGTAAAAGTTACGTTTTGGGATTGTATTGTATTTGATTCCGTCTTTTTTGCCACTATTCAAACGAATGCAGGTGCGTCTGGTGGTTTCCGGTTGTAACTATGTCGAAGGATAGAATGGCGTATCTTCACCATATCTTAAGATAGTGGTGTCCAGGTTGGAAGGGATATTAGCAGTTCTGATAGTCACTGACCCAGGACCTCTCGTACAAAAGGGGATGTGAGGATCCGACCCAACTCTAATGTACCTGTCGGCCAGGAAAGACTTTAAGCTAAGGAAGTGTATTTTCCAGAGTAAACCCGGGTGCCAGACCTGATCGAAGCCTATACATTTTCTGAACATTCCTTCTTCTCAAGGAAGATGCGATGCTGTCCACAACACACAGTTGAACAGTGCTTACAGAACTGATGCTTACCAAGAGTGAGCAGTTCCCAAAGTGGAACTGTAGTAATTTGAAAGGTGGACCCTGTTGTTTGTGGCTTATGTTGGTCGCTGGATCAATGATAAAAATGAGTTCACTAATTTCGTGGTCCGCTTGACCAATTAAATCATTACAATTAATTAAGGTTTTTAGTTGAGATGAAAAAAAGTTAATGGNGCTTGACCAATTAATACATTAAATAATGGCAAAAAGGAGGGAAAACTCATAAGGTGGGGTTGAGATAGGAAGTTGATATCCGAGTGGATCGAGGTCGCGATAGCTCAAGTGGTAGAGCAGCGGCGTATCTAGCCGAAGATCGTGGGTTCGAATCCCGCTCGTGCCATTAACTTTTTTTCATCTCAACTAAAAACCTTAATAAATTGTAATGATAAAAATGAGTTTGATTTAAGACCGTTAAGGCTGTACTCAAGTAGAAGGGTGCTGCATTGCACATATTCATCGGCTGCTGTTTGGAAGGTGAAATAGTATTGACTCCTGACGAAAACTTTAGTAAGCCATATGCAGTCACCACAGTATCAAATCCATCTCAAATGCCCATAAAAATCCATGTTTTCGAACTTACGTCTTTAATTTCGTCCCGGTAGCAAGTCCTGCCATTTGGAAATTTTCCACTGCCATTCGTCCCTATGAATCAGCCAAACCTGTCGGCCGTCCATAATTACTCTACACTTCACCGTATTGGAATCACATCGTAGACGTCACTTCATCTCCTTTGAGCAGAAAGAATGCTGTCCGGATGTGTCCCTTGAAATTGCTCAAGCCTTGGCTTCTTTTGGAAGCTGCAGGTCATCACATCCAGCACCTACATCGTAATAATAGAAACGCTATTCTGTCATGTTCTTGCTTTTGTCAGGAGTGACTAACTAATAGAACCAATAGAGCCTTCTAATCTACGTGAAGAACTACATACTAGATTTAATCGGACAACTTAATTACAAATGAAACTAACCGAATCCAATCAGTACTTGCGTAACCAGAAAAACAGTTCGGAGATGAAAACACTAACCGCCTAAAGAGACTGCAAAATCAGAAACATGATATCACATTTAATTTGCCCTTAAAGAAAGTCCATAAGCAAATATTTGGCTAATATGTACAGGACATTATCAGCAGTCCAGTTTTAGATCAAATTTGATTTTAAAATAAAAAAATATAATTGCATTTTTTTGCTAATTGCATTTCTGGTTGTAATATCAGGATTTTCCGGGTCAAGGCCGGAACGAAATATGAAAACGGGTGTGTGTGATGGGCAATATTTACCGAATGCTTACGACCCGACAGGGCTTTATCAAAATGAGAGGAGTAATCAACAGCCGAACGACATGTAATCAGCGGAGATTGTCATTATAAAGTCACACATGGACAGGTTCCCCCCCCCTCAAGCTATCAAAAGCGAAAGCTCAGATATGCAGAACACCGGCTGATAATTGATTAGGTTTGAAATTTTGACGTACAGGGAAATAAACCGGATCGTTATGATTTAAACAATCGAACCAGAAGAGACGCGTTCTGATTAAATTACACGGATTTTGGCCTGCCTATCATTACGATTTTTGAGTCTGTCAGACGCGTTTCGGCATTTTTTCATCTTTGGTGGCTCACCTGCTAGCAGATGGCTGCACTCGGTCTCTGTGCAAAAAAACCGGTTAAAGGTGAAGAGAAGTGCGGATATACTTATGTAACCTTTCACGTTACACCTGCGACTGCTCGGTTAAAGTACCATCAAGGACCGACAGAATAGGGAACGCAACCGTCGACCCAGTGAAGGACTGTATTTGTAGGCGGGAGCCCGACAGGATAAGGAGGAGGCAGTAATTCCTATGATCCTTGGATCCCAGAGTAACCCGAGGGTCGTAGCCTGTTCTCGAGATGAAACACGTCCTCTTCTTGTTGCGTTGTACCCCTGGTCAGTGGCAAAGTAGTAAGCGCCCAAGCATGAGAGGAGCCCGATGATAACTGCTCACTACGTCCCATTATGGTGTATTAAGACTGGTTGGTGGAAGAGTCCACGCTTATACAACCTTTCCGGTTATACATGTGACATGGGTCAGGTGACGTCACGTCACACATAGACACGGTATGTCTCGGTATCACTAGGGACCGACGCACCTCTCGACCCAGTTAAGAACAGAAGACAAGCAGAAGCTCGTGGTGTAACCCGACGGGGAGAGCTTGTGGTGTAGTAGTTGCCTCCTTCTCCTGGGGAAGGTGGAGCCCAGAGCCACCATTGCTAAAGGGAATTCCGATGTGTCTGGAAGATGCTGTGGCATAGAATAGCAGTGTCATCACTGTATCATAGGATAGTCGTGTCTTGATGGATAGGGATATCAGCATTGTCGGGTCTGGATTCGGCGAAAATTGAAAGGTTTCGTTAAACCACATTGTTCTCTGAAGTATGTCATAGACATAGGGTGAGGTTTTAATTGATTGGAAGTAGAGTCAAGGTTATGTTTTAGGATTTTGTGGTGTTTAGTTTCATTTGATTTTGAACCATAAATATAGTGAATGTCTGGAGGGCCGTTTGCTCAATTAGTGATAAGAAGTTTAACTTAAGCCGTTTGAGCCCCTACTTGAATATAGGGATGTTTCATGCCCATTGGCTGTTATTTGGAAG